TATTCACATGCATATCATATCTCATTCTCTGCTGTTATTTATTAATGCATCATATCATTGTTTTTGGGCTGGTATCATGACATTGTGAGCCCGAGAGACTGGAGAGATTGATAACTGAGTGAGGCCGACGGCCTGATTGTGAGGATGATTATGGGATCGGGCTGCATGCCGCAACGAGTCAGATTGGCTTACCATAGCACGTGAGTTGTCCGTGCAGCACGTGAGTTGTCTGTGCAGCACGTGAGTTATCCGTGCGATTCCATATATTGATATTATGACACGTGAGTTGTCCGTGCGATTCCAGCTATTGATATTATGGCATGTGAGTTGTCCGTGCAGATTATGGCGCTTGGATTGTAGAAGCCCTTCCGGAGTCTGCACACCCCCAGTGAGCACAGGTACTACTGAGTGCGAGTGCCGAGTGTCGAGTGCTGAGTGATTGGGAGGACGGAGTGAATTGATACTCTGAGAGTATGCATATGATCTTTATCATTGATTTGCATAGTATTTGGCATGCACACTTGACATACAGGCATAGAGATGCATTTTTCCTCATGTTGTACGGTATCACGCCATTCATGACTTTTTACACACATTGATATGTGGCCATAGAGAGGTATTTCACACTTGCTATCTGGAAAGAAAATGAAACATCTTATTTATTGTGGAAAGAATATTTGGCAAAATTACAGTTTTCAAACTTACTCGTATTTTTAGAATTTTCGGTAAAAGATTTGGGTTTTCACTAAGATACTTAAAAAGCATGACTATTTTCTGGAACTGTGAACGAGCTGGGCATTTTACTTCTGAGATACATCTTTTATTACTTATATTATGCTGTTATGAACTGTTGTGGGATATTGGTATTGGACCCGACCTTGTGTTAGCTCGTCACTACTTTCAGCCTAAGGTTAGGTTTGTTACTTATTGAGTACATGGAGTCGGTTGTAATCATACTACACTTCTGCACCTTGTGTGCAGATACTGACTGCTGATGTTGCTGTGATCGACGGGAGATGGATTTGAAGATGTACCTGCGTCCCGGTTGTAGCTGCCTCTTGTTCATGGTAGCCTTAGATCTATAAAACTCTGTTAATGTATTTTTCAAACAGATGATGTATTTACTTCATTTCCGTTTGTAAGCTCTATTCTTAGAAGCTCATGATTTGTACTACCAGTCCTTGGAAAATGTATAAAATTTAGTAAATTACTATCGTTTATTTGTCTTGTTAATATCATTGAAATTGGATAGTTACCAGTTGGCTTACCTAGCGGGTTGGGTCAGGTTCCATCACGACTAGTGAATTTGGGGTCGTGACACTATCTCGTCTATAGAAAAGAAGATCGCAAAGCTAACAGCAGAGCTTGAAGAGACAAAGGCTAGAGAACAAAAGAGAGATAGATAATTTGATACCCTTCAAGTTCAGCTAGAAAAGAGGGACCAACAATTTAATCTCCTTCAAGGTCAGCTGGCCAATCTTCTTGCTAGTGATGCTTTCCCCATTCCCCGGTCTCGTGAGACATCCCCAGATGCTAGTCCTTCTCGTCGTGATCCTTCAAATCATGCCGAAGATGAAGCTTCTAGTAGTGAAGATGGAGGTGATGCAATACAAAACACTCATTGAATGATGTTTGAACTTTTAACTTGTGAAACGTTTTGTTATTGGGTATGATGTTCTGTTAATATATTTTAGTGGAGATAGAGATGATGTTTTGTTAATAATATAGTTTTGATAGTTGTTATTGTTGTTGTTATTGTTGTTATTATTATTGTTATTGTTATTGTTATTGGTTGAATGACAACAATGTAATGCTGCCATTATAGGTGATTGGTTGTTGGCAGGTGGTGCAGCTATAAAACAGCTGTATTCTGCCAAAATAATACCCAGAAAACCGACCTCTTTCCGACCGAAGTCGGTAGAAAATGTTCATTTGATTTCCCAGAAATTTAAACTTATCGACCGACTTCGGCCGGAATTTATGATTTTAAATATTAAATATTTTAACAATTCTGACCGACTGCGATCGGAATTTTTGATTTTACATTTTAAATATTTTAATCATTCCGACCGAAATCGGTCGGAATTGAACAATTTCTTTTTTAAAAAAATAATTAAATTCCGACCGACGTCGGTCGTTAATTTAAAATTAATTAAAAATTAGTTTCAAAAATACCGACCGACTTCGGTCGGTGAGATTATTTTGTGTCAGATAACTTGGTCAAAGTGCGTTGACAAATACCGACCAACTTCGGTCGGTAATATCAACCGACTGCGGTCGCTGCCCTATTACGACCATTCTTTTTTCGATGAATTGAAAACGGTCGGTAATCGATCGGTTTTTGTTCGATTCCGACCGATTTCGGTAGGTTATGCTGGACACTTTTTGATAGTTTTTTAGTAGTATGTCATTCATGTTCTCTAATCTAGTTTATTGCTGGTGTCAAAAAAGTGAAGCACTGGTATGTTTCTGTCATTCTTTGTATGGTGATCTATGTGAGGAGACGATTATGAGGGAGAAGTAATGAAGGAGGATTTTCAGAGAGGCATTTAAATGACAATAGCTTAAGAGATTTTGTCGGCAAAATTTGAAGGTTTTCCAGTTGTATTCCCCTAGTGATGAAAGGATGCTTATGGGAGAAGAAGAGAAGGATAAAGAATTTTAGATTTTGATAAATTAATTCTTATAAAATGGGACATATTTATTAGACGTATCAAACAATAAAAGGCTTAAAATGTGACGTGTCATCTTTGTCAGCGCAGTTGAGGATCACGCGTTGGTAGAGACGTTTATAATATTCAATTTATCAAATAGGAGTATTCAAATGGGAAAGTTGCAAGTTCGTCTATCCGCTTTACATATGGATACAAGTTTAAGTGATTCCATTCCGCCAATTAAATTTGTTAGAGATTGAACTCTAATCACTTAGAAGAAATTTGTTTCCGAAACTTTTGGCAAAATTTGGTGGCGTCAAAACAAGCCCAGTGCTTACCAATTAGAGTTAAGACCTTGATATACATAAAAAGAGTCGGTCAAACTTGCTTTATCACACTTTTTTTTCTTTCTTCTTTTGTTCAAGCCCAGTGCTTCACTCCCTCTCTGATTAATCAGTAGGAGTAAGTTTGAAACCTCTCGGTTGATAGGAACAGGTAACCCCATCTTGAAACCCAAAATGTTAACGAAATCAACCTACCAATCCCATATGGTTTTAATTTGCCAGTTTCTAAATAAAAGAATGAGAAATGAATTTCGCAATCCTAATTCTTTTCTTATAACGATGATGTCCTAACTAGGTTGTATGCACCTGAATTAACTTTACCGAATATTTATTATCTGTACAAGTATCACAATAAATATGTCCACCAAAACATAAAACAATTTGTGTGAATACAGAATGCCCACATAGATGGACCAAACTTTGTCATTTGATAAACAAATACTAATACAAAAGTAATAAAGAAAAGGTGGGTACACGTCAATCCTATTCTGAAGAGAACATGTGGTAAGGCAAACTTTGACTACTTCCTACATATTTGATCTTTGAACTAATCGTAAGCCATCCAATTGCTAACAGATTACTCATGTCATGTGGAATCCACTGATTTTACGCATCTTTCAATACAATCTTACAAATAGCCAAAACTTCCATCCCGCAAACGCAGCCGCCCTTCATTTTCCACTCCCACACCACCCAAACCAAAAACAAACAGTACTGGACTCACTTACCACGTAAAAATAAAATTAGCAAAAAAGACAACACACGTAAAATTAAAATTAAATGTTTTAATAGATGTTATCAGGTGGTAGCAATTGTCTGCTACGTACAGTAAATTCAATCGTCCAGATCCTGAATCCATTTCTATCAACACAAGCACCAGATAAGCAATTAATAAAGTGCACGCTTCTTTGAAGCAAAGGGCAGAATTTATGAAAAAATATTGTTACCAAATATATGTGATTTTAGTACTATAATCAAATGTCAATTAAAAGAAACCAATTTCAACATTCAAAGTACAATAATACCATACTAATCCAACTCCTCAAAGATTTAATTCAAACAGTTGATTACTTCTTTGCTGGAATAACTTGGCACGTCATTGTTGAAGCGCACAATTCTCCAAACTCTATGGCTTCGCAATGAGGCTTTATAGCCAGTTTGGCCAAAATCGCAGTCAAGCTTTAAGAAAGGAAAAAAAAATTAATTTTTAAGTAGAACCAAAAACATTTTTGAGAATAAGAAAACTAGTTTCTCCCCAAAAGCACTTTCGAGAAAAATATACTTAAAAGCACTTTTAAAATCTTGACAAAATACTAATTACTGTTTAAAAATATTTTAAAATTAATTAATAAAATACAAACTGATTCTCACCCAAAATATTTTTGTAAAAAAAAAAAAAACTTTTGAGAATTGTTTTTTCAAAATAAGATAATCTTAAAAGCTTGGCCAAACACCCTATTAACCTCTTGCTTTCACATTGCTTCGTCGCTTTAAACAATGAAGCAATAGCTTTTAATAACACTGCCTATTTCATTGACCTTTCGGCCATACTCTTGGCTGCTATGCTACAGGGGTCATTTGGTTGGTGAAGAAGTTGAGATTAATGGCAGCGATTGAATAATTACAGGCTTTTATGGGTAAATATTTAGTTTATTAAACTAAATATAGGATATATCGGTATAATATAAAACATGTATTTGATTTAAACTAGATAAATTGGGATATATTTTATTACTAATTTTAACATTGAATTTTTTAAAGGACTTAGAAAGAAAAGCCTTGGAGAAGGACACTTTTGTCCTATTAGTATTTTATGCCAAAATTAGTAATCTCGAGATTGTTATCCCCAATGATGGTATAACTAATCCCGGCAATCAAACGCGGGATAAAAAAATCCAGCACTTTATCTCGGGAATGTTAACAGAGATCGTGGAGCTTGATGTGAAAAGCATGAATCTAAAGCACACGCTTCTTTGAAGTGAAATGCACAATTTACAGAAAATTAAATTATGTCAAACATATATGAATTTAGTAGAACAATAATCAATAAATTGTAGGTAAATAACTAATTTCAGCATCTAATGCCGTATATATTATAATGTCAATACTAATTCAACTCTTGCCAGTTGAGATTCAAAGTACTAACTGCTCGTTCGGATTACTTTATACCTCATGTTTGAAGTAGCGCACACTTCCCTAAAGCACATAGCTTCACCATGAAGCAATAACCCCTTGTGTCACATCGCCTTAAGCGATGAAGTAATGACTTTTAATAGAGCAGCACAGTGTGTTGCATTCAGATATCAGGAAGCAGGGCTTTATGATGTCCAGCAAACTCCATTATGAGAAAATACACAAAGTTGAACCAGGACATGTTCTTCCGCTTCACAACTTGTCCACTTAACTAAGCCAAACCAGGTCAGTTTAAGGCTGTCTAAAACCATGGGTTAGTTGAGAAGTCCAAAAATGCAGCAGTCAAAAAGTAATGAAACCTTTCTGCTTGTGTATTCATCAGAAGGAATTGCATGCAAAAATAATTATATGCGTATAACATATTACCTCCCACTGACCTACTTCAACAGGTATTTAGTGAGAAGATAGCTTGTACTTAGTGGGATAGTTCATGTCAAAATGGCAGCTCCTCCACATATCAGCTTAGCCAATTGCCAGCCTCCCAATAAGATAATGCATTTGGGAGAAGAGAATTGCATCCGATAACATTTCTAACAGTTACCGTACAAGGCTGAAAATATTATTCCTGAACTTAAAATCCAAAAGCACAACAAAATTTCATTTAGAACAAAATCAACTGTCCTTTATGTAACATTATTTTATTTTTTTAATTAAACAATCACCATTGATCATTGATGTGCAAAAAGATACAAATTGAGTTTGGCATCCCAAACTTTATACATGACCAATCACCATTGATCATTGATGTGCAAAAAGATACAAATTGAGTTTGGCATCCCAAACTTTATACATGACCATTGAGGTGTACTTCTAATCTATATCCTAACTAAAGGACAGCAAAAACAAAGTTAGCTCAAAGGAGTATCATGGATAATGTTAGAAGGTTTTGTGGGCTTTATTCTAAAGTAGGTAAGCTCCATTTGTCCATTATTGATTGAATTAAGATCACATATCACCCCTTAAGAATTTAGCATCATTTTCATCCTGAAAGACAAAAAGGAGTAGAGGAAAATACTATCACTGCATCCTCACAGCAGGGGCTTCCACTACAATATACTTTAGAATAAAGGCAAACAAGAAAAGGACCATTCAAAGAAGTAAAACCAGCATAAGGGTATCAAAAGCAAAATTCCATTAATTTGTTAGAAAACCATATTTACATCTACAACTAAGATGAAATCAAAGAAATAAACTTCAGCTACTATTCAGGAAACCTAATGAAAAACTAGTGCTGAAGCAGAGCAAGAACAAAAAAAAGTTTATTCTTCCTTTCATCTTTTACAGATATAAGAACTGATTATACCTCCAAATGCAAATCATAAAATTTGGAAGCCTTCACCTTCAAACTTCCACAAAAACCAAGGACATTCGAAGGACAAACCATCATTGAAGAATTTCTTCTAACCCTGCAAGGAAAATCACACTGTCACATACACGCAGAAAACTATGGGAGAAATGAAAATCTAATCTTATCAAGAGTTAAGTTTTATGCACAATCAGGTCGCTTAAAATCTAATTGTAACCTACATAAATGGCAAGTAACGTGTTATAACAGGTTACATTGCATTGATAGTGTAAACTTAAATCCATCAAACAGTAAATTCTACCTTTGGAAGATTTTCACAAACTTTATATGAATCAGGAGTTATTGAAGCAAGCCATAAACCAGGGAAGAGTGTCTGCAAAAGAAATTCATATCATCAGATAACTAGAAATCATAAGAGCAAAATAGAAAGAAAAAGAAAAGTGATAAATACTTACATCAAGTTGTTTCTGAACAACTTTAACTCTCTTCTTAGGTCTTCTAGCAGCTTTTAATCCAGTCATAGCATATAGATCTTCATCAATCTCTTCTCTGGATAACGCTATGGAAAACCTTTGCCTTTTTACCTTCTTCTGAGCAGAAGCAGCGTGGGTTTCATTATTTTCCGGCTTGTTCACGTTCATCATGTGATGGGGTGATTGAGATTTGATCTCCTGCATCGCAGATCCACTGGATCGAAATGGGACTCCTCCGTTTATATTCAGTGATTTGTGTATCGGCTTCCGAGGTCTCAGATTCCACGTTTTTTGTGCTGTTTCTTCAGCTGCTGCAGCTTCGTCGTGAGACTCATCTGCCTCCTTTTGATTTTGATCCTCGTTGATTTGAATTTCTTCGGATTTGTTTTTGCGAGGGATTTTAATTAAGATTTTCGATCTGCTTTCTTTGCTACTGACAACATTAATCTCTGGTACCTTATGCTTTGATCGTTGAACCGACGGAACGGGATCACGCATCGGAGACTGACGTGCCGATTCACGCATCGGAGACTGACGCGCCGCCGCAGCCGAATTGTGCATCGGCGATATACGCGCCGTCTCAGCAGATTCACTTACTGGAGACTGACGCGCCGCCGCGAGGGATTCACGCATCGGGGACTGAGACTGAGAGTGCCTTAGCGGCGAGTCGTGCCGTGACGGAGAGGAAGAGTCCGACGACAGCTTGTTGGAACGGCGACGTTGATGATTGTTCGAATGATGATTCTTCTTCCATTTCAAGTGGGAAAAATCGAAGTTGTAAAGTGGATTATTCGACTTCGCCGGTACTGTAGAAGCCATAGTAATAATTCTTTTCTCAGATTTAACAAAGAAATAATACCCAAATCTTTTCTTCAATTTCTCTCAAAGAAGTAACAACAAACAGCCGATCGGATAATTTGAAGCAACTATATCAAGGCAATTGACTCTTAAGAAACCAAGAAATCCTCATTGTGAAATCTAATGAGTAATTACATAGATGGAAATACATATAAATGTGAATTAAAAATTTTAATGGATAAATAAAAAAAGGGGTGAATTTTGTGTGAAGAGAAAATTGGAATAAGGGGGAAGAGGAAACTTTGAATGGAGATGAAAGGAACCCTAGATAGAGAGAGAGAGAGAAACAAAGAGAGGAAAGAGGAGTAGAGTAGTGTATAGAGGAAGACAGTTAATTAGAGAGTAAAATAACAACCCTTTGAGTCAGCCTGAATCCTGAGATTAGATGCAGATGAGAGTTTCTCTTTTGTACTCCCCATTCTACCCCTTTCATTTCTTAACTTTCTTTTTCATTAATTCGAATTCGTGCTGTGTAGGTTCATGAAAAAAAAGGTAATATTTTTGAATATCTTCACTAACTAGTATTAGTACATCATTAAAGAATATTAAACATATCAAAGTTTATATAATATAATTTGTTTGAGCACGTTAATTATATATTTTAACAAAATCATAAATGTTGTCTTATCCTAATGTACGCACCAGTAATAAAATTTTATGTAATTAAATTAAATGAATTATATAATCATAGCATAACTTTTGGATAAAAGTCAAATATCATACTGATATAATTTGTGCAACAAAAAATCTGAAAATATAATATAATTCAAAACGAATAAGACTACATTATAATTAAAATGAATCTAAAAACTTTTTTATTTAGTATTTTTTTCTAACTTTTTGTTAATGTTCATCATCATTATTAAAATCTTCAACTCCTTCCTACTTGTTACTCGTGATAAAGACCATAAAGTGATTTATTTGTAAATACATATTTATTTAAGAATAGTTCAATATGAGATAATGATACATCTTAACTTTCAATAATGAGAAAAGAATAATGCGATGAAAAATTGCCTTTGCTTGGATCTAAAACGTATTTTGACTCGGACGGAGTCAACATTATATTGAGATGATAACTTTTTATTTAAAATATTTTCTGATAAAATCTTAATTTCAATAACTTGATTTATAAGTCTTATAAAGATTAAACGCATGCTGTTACCCAATACAATATTTTAGAATTACATATATACTCATATTTATAATAAAAATTATGTCTTATTTAGTAGACTATTACATCATTTGTTCACTTTATAATTTGCAAATGACTTATATTATTTTATATCTTTGTTTATGCTTTTCTTCTAATAAAATAATAGTTCCTACCTTTATAAATCCATAGATCTAGAACTTAGACTTAATATTTTTTCTAGTGTTCTATTCAGGAGATAATCATGGTGAAGTCTTTCATGAATTTTCTTAGCATTATTTTTATTTTAATAGTACATATAATTTGTAATTAAATATTTTTTTTGTGTTATTTTTAACATAATATTTTATGTTTTAATTTCAATTATTATTAATATTACATGTATTAAAAATATTAATTTCATATACGCCTTATAATTTTTACATTGTCATGCAAATTTTTATTTGGCTTGTCAATTAACTTAATACAGCTAAATATGAATTTTACTTACTCATAAAATTTTTAGACTTTTATTCTAGTTCTCAAAATTCTTTCATTATTTGAAGTTATCAATAACATTTTTTTTAGTATTTATTTATTTCTAAAATAATTTTAAATATAATTAGCCTCACTATTTATATTTTTCTCTCTTTATGCATTATTATTAGATAACCTAATAAATGAGCAAATTTTGTGAAGAGGAAACAAAATTTGTACATCGCGAGGTTTTGGCCGCGATCGCGATGAAGGAAAACGATGCTGTAACTTTTGTTAATCGCGATCGCATGGATAATGACCGCGATCGCGAAAAAGGAGGCCTGGCAGGAGTATTAAACATCTAATTTCGGGATTTTGAGCTCATTTCATCACTTTAAGTTCTTGGAGCTCACGTGGGGCGATATGGGATGATTCTTGAAGATCGTTTTTGCCATATATCATAAGGCAAGTTATTCCTACTTGTTTTGAGTTAAATACATGGGTTATATATGGATTTTAACATGAAAATTTGATAGAAATTATGAAATTTTTGGAAGAAAATCTGGAAATGATATTTTTAGATTTTGACCACGAAATTGGACATGGAATTAGGAATAAATTACATATTTGAGTTTGTGATATTATGGGTAATGTTTATCTTCGAAAATTTTCGGAAGCTAGGCAGGTAGGCACGAGGGTTGACTTTGTTGACTTTTCGAGCGGAGTTGGGAATCATTATAAATTGTTAAATTGTAAGTATTGTAGTATATTTTGATTGATTTGCATATTGTTTGACTAGTTTCGGAATGTTTGGCTTTGAGTTGAGGTGTTAGAGAGGCGTTGGAGCCGGTTTTAGAACTTCGGAGCAAGGTAAATCTCCTGTCTAACCTTGTGAGGGGGAAACTACCCCCTAGGCGATGTAATTGTTATGTGCTACTAGTTGTGGGAGCTACGTACGCACGAGGTGACGAGAGTCCGTACGTAGCTAAAGCATATTTATGTCCGGGTAGACTTAGGATTTTATCATGTAATATTTGAATTATTTGAACTCATTCTGCTGGCCTAATTAATTGAATTTATAATTTTATATATATATATATATATATATATATATATTAGGTCGAGCCTTATCACCTTGAGTTGTTGGCAAGTTATTTGAGAAATGATAAAGGTTATATTCACTTTGTGCTCATATACTGTATTGTAAGCACGTGTCTCGTAATTCAATAGCTTCCTTCCTTTCTTGTGGAGCGGGTCGAACTCCTCGGCAGTATAATAGATGCATCTATGGTTCGTGCCGCTCAACTCTCGGCAGTGTACACATTATTCTGGATCGGGCCGAACGACCTCGACATAATCGTGCGTTATATCACTGGCAGTTCGAATATTTATGAGATTATCCTTCCACTGATGCCTGATATTTTATATGGTATTCCTTATCTGTTTGATACTGGCACTTGCTACATCTGAGTTGTTGATGTAGAATACAAGACTGAGAAATTCATACCTTTTAAAATAAATTTTTGGAAGATTATGTAACTTACAAATTTACCCCATTATTGTTGTGTGCTTCATATCTGCTTTTGATTTATTATATTGCTTTATTGGACCTCTAGTAAGTGTCGATGTCGACCCTTCGTCACTACTTCTTCAGGGTTAGGCTAGATACTTACTGGGTACGTATTGATTTACGTACTCATGCTACACTTCTGCACTAAATGTGCAGGATCTGACAGGTTCAATTGGTAGTTATCTTGGCGTGTAGGCACAGCTGCTGAGGAGACTTTATGATGAGCTGCATTCGAGGCCACGTATCACAGCCCACAGAGTCTCCATCGTACTATTTACTCTATCTTGTCTTATTTACATTCTGGAAAGATGTTGTATTATTATCGTAACCCTTAGTAAATTATTACACCATGTGCGTCTCAAGGTGACGTAATAAATATGAGACTTGTTAATCATAATTTAAATAATTTTAAAGTTATAATATGGCTATATATGATGTTTGGATAGAAAATATGAAGTTTGGGAAAATCGGATTAAAGTTGCGAAAAAACCGACTAAGGATTTGTCTTGTAATAGAGCTTTTTGAGAAATAAATTTCGTATACTATATGAGGTATTTTTGGGACATATTATATACCAAATTGAAGATCATGGAATGTAGTTTCCAACGCTCTTAACCGTTCATTTATACGATACCCGGATAAAAAGTTATAAGTGTTGGAAGGAGGGCCAATCATAGGGTGCCAAGTAGCACCTTTTTGACTTTTTAAAAAAAGGGAATATTTATATCCCATCTCGTCTCTTTCTCCATTTTTCAGAGAACACACCCAAATAACACCCCTAACTTTACTCTTAAGCTCTGTGCAAGAGCTTCAAATAAGATTATCATTCCGGGCACGGAATCAAGAAGTTGATAAGAAAACGTTGATAAATATCAAGGAATGTTGATAAATTTATTTCCTAATAGTTAGAACTCATGAGACGGTGATCGAAAGTCATGAGTTCGAGTTATTTGACTTGTATTGGACTGTTTTGTGGGTTGTTTCGTGTTGCCTTTGGGAAGGATGTATATTTTTCTACTGTTTAATGGAGTTTTGGAGGACAAATGGTGTGGAGAAACACCACATAATGACGGAATGGTGGGCTGGTCGTTCGTCATTATATTTTTTTTTTATACTACTTTGGTTGTCGTTTTATGTATGAAGTGATTAGGGTGTGTGGGCTGTTTTGTGGTTTATTGTGATGGGGATAAGGTTAGAAAATGATGCTTGCATATTGTTATTGTTGTGTTCTTGTTGTTGTTGGTATATGGTATTGGAGGAGGGCCTAGTTACAGGGGAGATGCTGCCCAACTTTACGTAAATGAGCTACTAGTTTAAGTTGCGGACTTAGCCTTTACTCAGCACTGATTTTGAATCTCCTTATGATATGGTAGATTGGGTTGAGTTGTTTTGAAGAATTTATTGGAAGGTATTAAGGACTCAATGGAGTTAAGGTATGTTAAGGTTATCCCTCCTTTCTTTTTGGCATGATCCGTACGATACAAACGAAACGAGCAAATACGCAACTTTCATAAATGACTCTATTCATAGAAATACTAGGGATGTCTATATTCTTGATTCACCATGTGTCTTATTATTCTATCATCTGTTCATGGGTCTCATAAAAATACGCAAGTTGATAAAGTTTATTTTATGATATTAATCAAAGGCATAGTGATCTTATGACATTTTGAGAAATCTTATTAACGTACTTTTTATGCATTTCATTCATGTATACATGTACATTGAACCATGACCAGATGGCGTTATATACGTGTATATTATATGTATATGGGATATGGGAAAAGGTTATGGCGTTATATACGCACCACCACCTGATCAGCTGGTATACGTTGATGATTTTGCCCACAGTGGCTGAGATGATATGATGGGATGCCCTTAGAGGATTGATGATGTTATGTACACATATACCTATGCATGGTATGGCATTTATACGTACATGCATGACATTATAAATTTTCATAATTCACAGTGCTATTCATAATTACAGGTTGAGTTCTTTACTCCATGTTTCTTTCATGTCTTTTATATACTACTGTCATGCCTTACATACTCGGTACTTTATTTGTACTGACGTCCCTTTTTCCTGGGGATGTTGCGTTTCATACCCGAAGGTCCCGATAGACAGGTTGAGAGTTCTCCAAGTAGGCTATCAGCTCAGTGGAAGAAGTTGGTGCGCTCCATTTGCTCC